TAAAATAATATTTTTTTCTGTATTCAGTGTCTGCAGTTTAATCAATCTTCCATTAAGAAATCTTTAAATAATTCAGTCCCTTTTTATTAAAAACGTGAATACTTGCAAAAAAAAAAAAAAAGAGCAGATGTGGAGAATGACAGTCAACTGCATTTGTGACACAAATTGAGTTCCTTAGGCAATCACATTATTACCAGTTAAAGCTGGTAAAACTATTGAAAAGTGAAGTCTCTGCTATACTGATTAATCCCTTGCACACTTTTAAGAATAATGAGTATTTACAAAATATTAAGTTGGTTTAAATTGCAGAAACCACCTAATTTGTTGAGCCACCTTACTGGTTACCACTGTATCGTCATGGTTTCCACAATAGGGTTATTCAGAGCTGCTCAGCTATATTAATCTTTTCCAATTTTACTAGCATCTCAGGGTGCTTGTGCCTCCAGCAACCTGAAGTACAGCAGCTGCCTCAACATGAATTTGTCACAGAGTGCCAGAAGAGTGAGGAAAAATATTGGGGTGGATATATAAACAATAGTTTTGTCCTCATTTTTTAAATGATTTAAGAATTAATATAAGGTCTTCTACCAATGTATCGACTGCCCTTAGCTAGCTCTCTTTCCTTTGTCATACTGATCACAACATTCTTTTGTAGAAAAGCCCAGTTAAGCAATATGTCTCACCATATTAGCAAGGTTGGTCATTGTCCTGGTCTCTAGGGAAGAAGTGACTAAACAAACAAAAACCACCTTGCAGTCAACTTGTACAATGAACTAGTCTTAAAAATCAAGCTCACAAATTTAGATTTAAACACTTAACTGTTTGGCTTCCAAAACTGCAGATGACCAACCATTCTGATTTGAAGTCTGCATGATCTGTGGAGAGTGGAGTATTTCTGAAAGCCAGGACAACTGGTTTACTAGATTATAAAAGCCATATGTTTGTTACATTCATTTTTTTCCTTTTAAATTTGCTGGTGTTGCTGGAAGGTGGTAATCATGGGCAATTCATCTTTATTTAAGCACAGGGGAAAAAAATAATGGAAGTTTTCTATATTAATGGAAAACTGTTGAAAGTTTGTCCTCATAGGCTTTACAGTAAGGTCTGGGTCCAGTAAGGAGAATATCAATACAGTCTTCCAAATCGATTATTGAAGTGTCTTCATTAGGGTTTCCTTCCTCCCCCGCCCCAGAAATTAGGTTGATCATTGTTTATGATTCTGTCTCATTGGTCTCCGCACTAAAAAGCCATAAATATGTCAGAGGATCTCCATTAGGGATTGGGCTAGGACCACCCACTCATTTCTCCTGAGCAAACCAGTAGCTGTCAGATAGCACCTTTTCAATAGCTACTGACGTAGACTGGATGTGAACTGGTGACCAACAGGTGAAAGGTATTTTGTATCCCATTATTAATCCTCATAGCCATCGAGTCCTTCCATTAAAATCTTATGAATAACTTTTTTATCCTTTAAATAAGTCTGCTAGCAAGCAGTTGTAAACTTACATTTTTTTGCTTTGTAAAATTGCCAAAGCATGTGGTTGTGCATATACAACTGCACACCCTGCTGCTAGAAACTGGGAGGTTTCCAGTGGCTCTCAATGCCTGCATTTATATGGGTCAATACACATAACAGTGAACAAGCACACAAAGTGCCTTCCTGCCCCAAATCAGTATTTTTCAGCTGTTTAAACAATTATTTGGATTTTCTTTAACGGTTAGAATTTTATGCTCTTATGCCATGTGTTTTATTTAACACTGAACACATACAGTGGGAAGGGACAATGACAGGGATAGCCATCTTAATCTAACTGCACAGTGTGTATGTTCTGTTTTGGTAGTTAAGGGTGTACATTGGATAGTTGAAAAAAATTGATAAATGCTACAGTTGTGAAATGGCTGGATTATGTCAAATGGTTGGATTTTATATAATTTGACACAAAAATAAGGCATATTAAATCTATGCTGAGATACTGACATTTTAGCAGCAGACAGATGGCATCAAAGAGGACATTTTAGATGGTATGATGTAAGGTTCTTCACACTGCCATTCTGCAAGAAAATGCCTTTTTTTTTTTTTTGACAAATGTGGGTATATGAAAATGATGGCTAGCGTGAGCAAGTGGAGCTAATGCTGATTGTTTGTAGTCGGATCATTTTATGTATTAGGTGATATAATGTAAGATATTTATCCACTTCATCTGTGGGTATGAGTATTTGAGCCTGTTAATAGCAGAGTCAGTCCTTTGATGCCATGTATGCTGGCACCTGTCATCATTCTGTACTCCAGGTCTCCTGACTGGCCTGAACTTGAGTGCAATTTGGAGAGTACCAAAAAGAGTAGAGCAGTCATGTACTTTTAGTGATCCCAGTAAATGAAAATTAATCCTGTTTGACAAATGTTTGTGGCCTTATAGTCATAGTTCTGTAGGCAGAAGCTACACATTTTGTGACCATGTTCAATGAACTATCCTTTTACATTCTAGAAATAGACAAAGAGACAGAGTACAATCAGCTAAAACTAATTATGTTAATCTGTTAAAAAAAGGAATTATGCAAAATCTGTAGATGTTAATTCTGTCAGTATTAGTGATGCATATGCCTGATACCTGTTGTTTTGAAGCCTCAAGGGTAGACTTACATATATCATGATACCTTTTGCCAGACTAATGCCAACCTTGGAGTTAAATGTGCAAAATTTAGTGTTTAATTATGACCCCCCCCCCACCACCACCCTGATTATTTTAATTTGAATAATTATTTTATACCTTCACAAATTTATGATATGTTTTCAACTGCAGATTATTTTCTTCACTTTTTGTTCTCAACTATGGTTGTATGCTATTTAAAAAAAAAATTGAATTTAGACTATAGGTATGTCTGTCTCTACTGCACTAGTAGATGTGGAAAAAATCAGTCTAGGCTGACCACCACCCTGATTATTTTAATTTGAATAATTATTTTATACCTTCACAAATTTATGATATGTTTTCAACTGCAGATTATTTTCTTCACTTTTTGTTCTCAACTATGGTTGTATGCTATTTAAAAAAAAAATTGAATTTAGACTATAGGTATGTCTGTCTCTACTGCACTAGTAGATGTGGAAAAAATCAGTCTAGGCTGAATATCATATGCTTTTTTGTTTTAAGGTTTTTTGTTTGTTTGTTTTTAAAAAAACCCCAAACTAACAGAGAGACAAGAGGCACTGCAGTATATGATAGTGTGCTCTATCATATAGTTGCACCATTTGGTTGACAAGAAGCCTTGTGCAATGTGATATGGTTTTAAGGTATACAGGTTTACCAAAGAAAGTTTAATAAGGCTAAACTCTTACCTCCAGTGAACATTAATTTTGTGAAACTGGAATATCGTAAATTATAAGCCTGCTTGTACATTCTCTGCCAGAATGATATCTTGGAAATAGAGCCTCTATGTTGGTTTTGATGGAACCTGATCTTGATATAGTTCTTGCCGCACTGCACAACTTTTTTCTCTCTCTCTATTTCATTGTCTCCCGGGCCCTTGAGGGAAATACTGAGAATCTGGAACAGCTGTAATCATGAACAGACCTTGTTATTATTCCTATGTTAACTTGTGGGATAGTGCAGGATGTGTGCAATGTCTGTTCCAGACCACAAAACTTGAGAAAGCCTGTATGCTTGTTTCTGTAAAATAACACTCAAGGCAACCTTGAGAGGTGCAGGCCACAATACCTTTCTTCCACAGTGGTTAAGCTTAACTGTGCTTTATTCTGGAGGCCTTTTGTTTTATAACACAAACCACAGCAGCCAGTTTCATCGGGATAGGTATAAGCAGGTCACAGGTATCTTATTGAATAGCTGCTGATGATTTGTATTTGAGTATCAGCCTGGGCTAATCCAATAACGCTGTTTTCTTCATGAAAAGAGTAATGACCACTAATGGATCTGCTCTGGCACTTGTATACCATAATACAACTTTAGAGGCCTGGTGATCTGAGTGATAAGAAAATCTGTGGTTTGTAACGTGTCTGTTCTTTTTACCATAATTTCTGTTGTGTTTTTTTGGTTTTTGTGGGGTTTTTTTCTGATTGTTTTTTCATACCATTGACCATTGTATTTAAAAACTACCTTTTCCATTTCAGTTATGTTTTATTCTTGACAGATTGATTTCTGATGAAATCTTTTTTCCCATATTTGAATCAGAAATTTTTTATTTTTTTTTGGTTTCCAACATTAAAATCTGAAATATTTTCTGCTTATATATTTTCATTTGTGGTGACTTTACTGTTGTCTGTGTGTATAGTGTTATTTAGGACACGAGGAAATGGAATGAAGCTGCATTAGAGAAATTTCAGAGTGGACATTAGGAAAAGATTCTTTGCTGAGAGAGTAGTTGGTCACTGGAACAGGCTTCTCGGGGAAGTGGTCATGGCACCAAGCCTGTCAGAGTTCAAGGAGCATTTGGATGACACTTTTAAGTAGTCCTGCAAGGAGCAGGGATTTGGACATGGTAATCCTTATGGGTCCCTTTCAACTTGAGATATTCTGTGATTTCGTAGAACCAAAACATGTTTTTTCCATTCCCCCCTCCTCTCTTTTTTTTTTTTTTTTTTTTTTTTTTTTTTTTTTCTTAAAGAGCATGACTACATCTCCCTTGTACCTTCCTTTCTGATTTTATCTTGGATCTATGTAATACTCATCCCGATGCCTGTCCAGAAAAGTAACATGGAGCTCGATGTTCACCTAAAGCCCTTTGCAATACATTTCTACCACTTCCTTACTTCTTGGACATTGATGATGTTGGGCACATTTCTTCCTTAGTCTGGAGATCTGCAGCATAAAGTAGCTGACTACAAAGCTTACATTAACGCTTAAACGTTCATATTTATTTAGATTAAGCCTAGTGATAATAGTAGTTGTTTTTCTCTAGTGCCTGGAATTTGGAAATTGTAGCTGTACATAATTGCTCCATGGTAACACACTGTTAAAATAATTTTTCCCTTTTTTTTTTTTAAGGGACGCAAGAGTGAGGCAGAGAAGTATTTTGTGAAGGCTATTCAGCTGGATCCTACCAAAGGAAACTGCTACATGCATTACGGTACGTTTCAGATTGATAGGGTTTCCACACGTATTCCAGGATTGCTGTTAATCTCTCTGAGTGATTAAGGATTTGAGAAGTGCTACTGGCAAAATACCTTCTTTAAAGGGAATGAAACTAATCTACCATGTATAACTTCATCTCCATTTCAATATGTTAATCACTGTAGAGGGAGAGGTGAAGATTTTCATATTTCGCGTAGCTTTCCTCCTGTGAGGGGCATTTCAATATTGCTGCCTCTCTGGGAAAGAAAAAAAGGTGACTATTGCCATATGTCGAAGTTTCGTGGCCTGGAATATTATTAACAGTTTTGGCCTGACTTTGCTGGCTGCCGGTGGGTGGGCAGCTAGAAGTTACACTTCAGTGTGTGTGAGTTCTGTATATTGAAGTGCCTGTTTTTTGTTGAAGACTTACGGGCCATACATCTACCTCCTTCCCAGCATCTTCATGGCTTGAAACAGATAAATATTAGAAAGAGTTTTGACAAGTTGGCTATACCATTGTCATACTAAGCCATGTGTGTGCTTAAAGCATGCAGTTAATTTGAAGGTATCTTTATAACTTTGGACTGTTTTTGCTAGATGTGCAAAAAATATTTCCAGATGTCATTAGTCCCAAGGAACCAAAAATATTTTCCTTTATGGACTAATTCTTACTGCATTTTAAAGCTGATAATAGATAAATCTAAAAATGCAAGCTATGTAGTCTCAATTGGAATATATAGAAAGAAGTAATAAATTTAATCTTAGTTAAGGAAGAAGGTAGGGAACCACAAGCATACTATATATATCTTCGTATATTGTTTTAATTTCCTCTTCTGATTTTAACTGGTAAATGTAAAATAAATGAGAATGAGTGGCCAAGAGGGAAAATTAATCTCACATAATAACCAGGTTTTTACTTTGTGTGATTCCTTTGCCTGAATTGCTCACACGTTGTATTTCTGTTTGGTCCTATGCAGTGTAAAATTCTATACATTAGACTCCCAGAGACGATGCATACATTGTTACTTAGAACATGTCATGGTATTTAAATGAATGTAGCCCAGTGCTGCATTATTTTGTGTTATGGATCATTGCAGTTAGTGACCTTGTCTTCTATTTATGCCTGTACAGGTAAACCTGATAGGGGTATTTGTGCACATAAGCTCCATTATTTCAATTGTATATAAGTATAGTTGATATCTCAAGTTAATGAGGAAAAGTTGCAGCAGATGGTTTCTTGAAATCTTACTGAAGCTCCTTCCAGCCTTTGTTTTTAAGAAATTTATCCTTAATTATTATGAAATCTCTTTGCATACAAATTCAAAGGTAGGTCTCAATAATCCATCCTGGCAACTGATGTTATGAGTGTGTATATTCTATTACAGGTCTAGACTTTTTTCTCTCTCATTGCATCATTAGCTTGCCTATGATTTCCTGCCATACTCCCTCTGTTCATTTTAAAGTGCCCTGGAAACTAAAAGCAAAGTTATTCAAAACATCATTCATCTTTGATGTATTGACTACTTAATTACCAAACTACAATATTAAAATGGTACATTGTTTCCTAATTAAGATTATTCCCTAAAAACTTTAGCAATTTTTTCCTTTATTGTGACACAGGTACAAAAATAGTTTTTTGTGTCCTTGTGCAGAGGTCATTATTGCAAAATAAGTGAGATTCTGCTCTGCAGATTAGGAGTGAAGGGCAAAGTTTAGTAAGTGTTTGGAATACTAGCATAGTAAAATGTGATGCTGAAGGGCTGTAGACACAAGAAGATTCTCTCTACCAGTCATTGGGTCTCTGCCGTGGAGTATTATACATAGAGAACTCTACTGAATGCAGGTGAAACCTGTTCTTTTGATTGTATAACTTCTGATCACCTCACCAATTTCAGTGATGTTACTCCATGTTTATATCAAAGTAGCTATGAAAAAATTATGGTTTATTTATGCTTGGCTTATGTCTATGTAGTACAGGTGATCTCAAAACCTTGTCACTTTGAGTACAAGACTTGTCACAGGTACAGTCCATATTCTATATGCCAAGTGTTAAACTTTGGGGAAATGCATCTGTATTTTGCATATAAATCTTAAGAGATTACTTTTTTTCTCAGCATGAAGATGCTGGAACAGAGAATAAAATAGTTGGCATCAGCCCTAAAAAACCACTTACCTCATGGAACAGCCAAATGAGAAGAGTAGTCAGTTGGGACATAATAGTGTGTTGATGGAGGAGCAGGAATAAATGGACTGAACATTTTCTTCCAAGTGCACATGCATGCATACAGTTATAATTTGTGCTCCCAGGATGTGCAGATGTTCTTTTTGACTTCTAGCCTTTTGGACTTTTTTTTTGTTGAGGTATCAGGAAAAATTGCTGATATTCTGTATCTTTTAAGAGGCTTACGTCTGTATTAAAATGTGCTTTAATTCAGGCCTTAAGCAAAAGAAAGCTACTCTTAGAAGATGTGATTTGGTGCAGGAGTCAGCTTATTTGATCACATGAAAATTTGGAGAGAGAGGTGAACAATTTCATGGATGCTTCTTGGGAGAATACTGCCATAGCACATTTCTCTGGTCGAGCTAGTGTTATAATTAGTTTCGTATAGGTTATATGCTGGCTTTGGATTTCAGTGGATTTAGGTTTAAAGTGGTGTTTTTCAAACTCATTATGCTTGGAGATGTCTGAAGGGAGAACTAGTGGAAAAGCTGAAGAGATAAAAATCCGTGCACACTGCAGACATGTAACACTTCATTGAACCTACTAGATTTAAATGCTCCTGCAAAGTTTGAGGCATTTAATTGGGTATTTTTAATACACTTTTTTTAAAGAAGGCTTGAAGTGAACAGTTTTGGTTAAACTAAGTTGAAGTTATAAATGCTTATTATTTCCATCTTTGTTTTCTCTGGGAAAGTTTTCTTCAAAAATCTTACCCACATTTACTCAAGATATTGGCTCTTGTGCATCCCACTTTACTTTGAACATTTAACTGAAGTACACCTGATCCTGCAGGACCTCAGTGGCTTCTGTCATCAACAGATTGATGATGTAATTGAAATGGCATGTTGGCATCTAAGGAGTGAGTAGGTCAAATTTGTTAACAAGTGTGCCAAACATAGAAATGTTCACCCAGGTCAGACCCGAGACATTATTGCCCAGAGATTGTTTAGTTTTGGATACAGTATTGACTACCCACAAAGGAAATACAGACCTCCAATTTCTGTCTGCAGTGAGCCTATCAAAGGAAAGAAATTAGATTAATTTCAAACGGTGAAATACTTAAATGCTTGTCTGTTTGGAAAGAAACAAAAATAAATTCTTCAGTATCTTTTCATTGAGATGGCAAGTAGGATGCAATCCTATGCAACCTCTAGGTCAGCCTGCTTTGGCAGGGGGGTTGGACTAGATGGTCTCCAGAGGTACCTTCCAACCCCTACCATTCTGTGATGCAGCAGTTGAGGAGTTTGAAGTTGTTGAAGGCTTTCTGTACTAGCTTTCACTTAAGCAAGCGAACAAACAAGAAACCACAAAAAGCTACAGTGAAATTTAAATTGTACAAGCATTTTACCTCAAAAATTGTATTATTTCCTTTATAATTTCCTGTTAAAAAAAGGAAAGAAAAAATGCCACTAAAGCAGGTTTCATTTTGCTTATTTGCTAAAAACAGGTTTTGCTACCATGCCTCTTAAAGTGCATATAGAGGCCTCTCTCCAACATAATGAAAATGGAGTGGCAAAAAAAAAAAAAAAAAAAAAAAAAGAGAGAAAGAAAAAGTGAGGTTTCAAGATAAATATGCGTACAGACGTCCCTGTTCCCTTACATTTTTAATGACTTAATTGGAATGAGGATGTCTAGAACCCAACAGGACGTTCAAATTAACTCTGTTTTATTAATCACCATTGAGACCTCCGTTTAAAATAGTTTCCTTTGAATAATACATTGTTTCTAATAACTCCAAATTGTTTAATGTTTCCTTTTTCATTATAAAAATGGATTATTCTCATTAGATTAATTATGCATTCACTTAATTAGGCAATTCACATTGATCATCTGCCTTTTTCAGTGCATTCCCAGTTACAGATATAAAATAAAATTAAAACCATGCTTTCAGATTAGGTAAAACTGAAGCATATTAATTATACTCTCATTGAAGGAAAAACAGATTAACATCTTCTCAACCATTCTAACTTTTTTCTTACACTGTCTTTCACTTTTGCATTTGTGATAATTTAGGAGTTATTTTTATAGATTTTCTAATATTCTGTTTTTTTAATACAAATTTAACTTAGTTGCTGTTTTTATTTTTTTCACTTTCATCCTGAGTCTTTCTAATCATTGTTTCAGCACAGAACTTTTAGCCCCTCTTGATGCCTAAATTTTCACCTGGGTTTGTGAGCACTTTGTATCTGTCTTGCCTCCAAAGATGACTGCTTTACCACACCTAAGTCCCAGCCTGAAAATGGATTTGAACTGCTGTGGTTTAAGCTTCAAAATAAATTTCACTGAAATATGATAGGAGTGGATTTTCCACAACATTTTTTTTCAGTCTTTAAGTCATACACTTATATGTGTTAGTGAGCATGAGGGTTTGCATATGTTTATAGATGTGCATTCAGTTTTCTTCTTGGATGTGATATATTTATAGTATTTCTGTGTAGTCACCTTTTTCACAGTGCTGGAACTTTATGTCTTTGTTCTTCATTGCCTGAAGATTAGCCTGGGAAAGCTTCATTTTTCCCCTCATATATTTAAGGAAAAGGACTTATGAAGAAAACATTGTAATAATGAAAAAGAAATTGTCAAATTTGTATTGATAAGAAAGAGAAGTATCGACCATGACCTAGTAACAAAGTCTTATTCAATTCTTCAAGAAAGATTTATGCCTGTGGAAGAAAGGGCACCCTAGTCCATAGGAAGGTCAGGTTTTGCCTTTGTCAATGAAATCAATAGAACTGATTTCACAATCCATAATTCCAGTGAATGAACTGTCCATTTCTGACTGACGTGTTAGCTAA